TATATAGGAAGGAGGCAGCCCGATTAATCTAGCTGGTCGACGATTAATCACGATTAATCGTCTGGTCGGTCCGTGGTCGACCAGGTTCGACCAGCCGACCTGAAAACACTGGTTTGGTAACAAACTTATTTGATTCGCTTTTTTGACCCAAAATGTTGATCCGAAACAGCTCATAAGAGCAGCGTTTTGGGAAGAGATGATTCAAGAAAAGGAAATACAACGTAACAGCTATAAAATTTCTGATATTTACCAAAACACAGTAAAATCAAGACCACCACTGCTGTAGTTTACACTCAGATGAAAGTTATGGCTTTGGTGTTCTCTGGTATTTAGTATGGCCACGCTGCTAGAAAAGACCCAAGTTTTCTATTTTCTTATGATTCAGATTTCTTTGGTCATACGGAAAATACATGGGATGGAAAAAAAGCCAAAAAGGCAATCAGAATCCTGCTCAATAACATTTGATACAGCTCCATTTTAATTTGACTACCAATATTCATCACCAGAAAATAACACCAATAGTAGAATCGCCAAATATGCCATCAACACTCAAAAACGTGAATCATACAATCACCCACTAGATGTTTGCAATTAGCGACAAAAGAAACTCAAAAAGTAACACAAGTAACTAAGAAATTCACCAGATCACATGCTTAGGATTCCAAAGCCCAATGTTGCCATCAACGAGGCCACCGGCGATGAGTCCAAGAGAATACTCCTCCGAATTCACAGGGCCCTTGCCCCAGGAAATCCGATTGAAGCGCTCAGAGCTAGGGGCAGAGCCCGCCAGGATCAGCTGCTGATCGTCCGACACGAAATCAAGCTCGAATATATCGAGATTGGCGGATGAGCTGAATTGCAGATCCACCGCCCCGGCCATCGTGCCAGCGGCGATGTACGCACCATCCGGCGCGAAGGCCGTCGATGCCGATCTGTTCACCCCCTTTATACAGCCCGCCATAGCAAAACCCGCAAAATCTATCAAATTTATGTAGAAGCGGATTTCTATAAACCGATAAATGCCGTGAGCAGATCTAGCTACGTAGCAGAATTCGAATTGGATCGGGAGAGAAACGGTGCTTCCTCTCTCTGCGAGGTGTGTGTGTGTGTGTGTGTGTGTGTGTGTGTTTATTTTCGAGTTAATTTAGGTTTTGACGTTTGTCTCTTCTTTTACAGTGATTATTATATACGAGGAAATTGAATGAAGTATTTTCATACGACGGGGTATACTGGGAATTTAGTTGTCCCTGTGCGACTTGTCATGTAAAGCATAAGAAGATCGTGCACGCGTACGACGGAAATATGTTTTTCTCTTGAAAGACGAAATTGCCCCTTCGGCTCATCCTATGTTAGCACCCTGCCGGCCAAGGCTGCCAAACCGCCAGTTTGCGGCCGTTATCCCCCAAAAACCAGATTTGGAAGTTATTCGGTTCGGTTTCAACTTTCAATTCCTCTTTATGGCCTTGTGTTACATAATGCCTTGTTTGGACAATCAGCTGTTAGCGGTTAGTTGTTAGCGGATCATATCAGATGTTTTGACCAATTGATTGTATCAACTGTATTGACCGCAGTTTAGATTAGCGGATTGTGTTAATGCGTTTAGTAAAATTAGCTGATTGATGTTAATAAATTGAATAAAATAACTGATGTGAGTA